CTCCACATATGACCACAGGAGGGTAGCCAGGATGGAGAACAGCTAGGGTTGTCACTGGGTCAGACTGCCCCAAGGAGGACTCTGCCCCACAACTATGGAAGCAGGTAGCCTGGGTCCCATGACCTTACTGTCTGACTTGGCTGCTCGCCTGGCTTTAAAGCTAACAGAGATGCCTGCCTCATGTATCTTGGGTAGGTGCCTCCAGGAGGCTACACATTCCAGGCCAGACCTTACTCCAGTGTGCTACACAAGGGGATAGGACAGGGCCTCCAATGCAGTAGGGAACTTGGCTTTTCAGGGCTCGGTGAGGGTCACCTGTTGCTATGAAGATCTCTCATCTCACATTGGTCAGCAGGCACTTCACCAAGGGGAGTGGATGCAAGTCAGGGTTGGAGTGCAAGGGTGCTGGAGTGCAGGTCAACCTCATTCCTTACCCTGCACTGCTGCCTCTGCACAAGCCCCCCACAGCTGCCTGGAAAACCTGGTACTCAAATACCACAGGCCGTTTACTCCACCCTAGCACATGTGGAGATGGGGGACATGGATCAACTGAGAGGAGGAGACAGCCCTAGACTGGGATGTCCATCTACTCTAGGGGGCCTGGCCCTATACCCATGCCAGAGAGCTGTGCATAGGAAAGGCTCCAATCATAATTCTGGCCTCCAACTCTCAAGTGCTTATCCTGTGCCAGGCCCTGTCCTGATGGCTTTGTGACTTATACCACTGTCTGAGATTACCATCCCCCCTTATAAGTGAGGAAACAGAGGCAGTGTGGTCAAGCAACTTGCCCAAGAGGGGCAAGTCCCTAAGAGGAAGGATCAAGATCTGCCTCACCAAAGTGAGGTACGGTGAGGTATGGTCACTCACACCTATGATCCCAGTTACTTGTGAGGAGGCAGGGGGACGACAGTTCAAGCCAGCCCAGGCAAAGGTAGTGAGACTCTATCTCAAAAATAAAACAAAACAAACAAACAAAAAAGGGCTGACAGTGTAGCTCAAGTAGTAGAGCACTTGCCCCACACCAGCAATCACCCCAGAGTGACCACTCACTGCTCCCTGACTCATCAGTGCTCAGCGAGTTTCTTATCTTATTCTCTGCTCCTTCCTTTCACTCACTCTCTCAGCTCTCCGGCTGACACCTGTCAATCCCCTAATCAAGCACTGTACTCAGGACTCCCCCACTGCTCTCTCTGGGGGACACAGTACCTGAGGAGACCTACACAGGGTGAACAGGAGTCCATAGCACATCCCACACCCCCAGCTAGGCCTGGCCTCCCTATCTCCTTCCAGCAACCTACCAATGCTGGTACTGTCCTGATTTTACTTTGGAAATGCGAAAACATGGCTCAGAGAAGGAGGAGATTTGACAACTAACTGGTAATGAATGGCTAGGAGCTGAGGCTCAATTACTACATTTCTGGTATTTGGGGAGAAAGTCTTCTCCCTCTCTGGCTCCTTAGAATTTCATGGCATTATGCTGCTCCTGGAAGGGGGAACAAAAGTGTGGGCCTCAATGGGGACCCCAAGGCTAACCCATGGGCAGACATACCTGCCTCCCGGTACTGGCCAAACACCAGGTCCATGCTGTCCAGGGCAGCGGCACTCCCCACGTGAGTCCCCTCCTCGCCATAGTTGGTCATGTAGAAGGAGATCCGACCCTACGGGTGGAGATGCCCAGAGACCCAGGCTTAGTGATGGTGGGCAGTAATGGAGAACCATGTGAATTGTGCCTAACTTCTGAAGATCCACAATCAACTCTCTTCTTGAAGGCTGGTCCTAGGCTAGGCCACATAGGGCTCCTGCCTATAGAAGAACTGCCAGGACAGTGAGACTACAGTGATGGGCTCCGTGTAACAACACCCAAAGGAGGCAAATGCTGACCACAGTAGGGCATCAGGGAGAACTTCCAAGCTGAGTGGAGGTAGGGTGGGTAGAGGGCTCTAGGCAGAGGCAATGAAGACCATGCATGAGACCAGAGGGCTGAGACCCAAAGTCTCAGGGAGAAGATGAGGCGGGAGAGGGAGGTGACACCCAGATAATGCAGGAAATGATACATCTCTGAGAACAGTGGTAGTCACTGATGGTTCTCCAAGGAGCGGCGAGGTCACACTTGTGTTTTAGAAATCTCTCAGGCAGCCATGTGGGAAACAGATGGAGGGGACAGGGCTAACTGCTGGAAGTCAGGAGAGAAGGGGCAGTAGCTTGGCCTGGGAACCAGGGGAAGGGCAAATGGGCGAGTCTTCAAAAGCTGAGTTAGTGGTACTGACAGTGGCCAGGCCACACAGGGCTCCTGCCAGGTCCCTTTGCCCCAACCTCCCTCCTCTCCCCAGGCCTGCAGCCAGGGGTGGGACACAGTGTTAGCCAGAGGCCTCAGTGGAAGTCTGCTTTTGTGTCCTGGAAAAGGAGAACCACTGCTGGCACTACCTCTGCCCCCCCACCTCCTCCTCTGCATTGCTCAGAGCCATGATGCCTGGGCATGTGGCAGCCATCCTGTGAGCATGAGACAACAAGCACAGGAAGAATGCCAATTTGTCAATAAAGATGAAGCAGAGAGAGGCAGAGTCTGGGTGCCTGCTGGTGCTGCTGAGCCACTGACCCGATTCCTAAGGTAGCACCTGGAAACAAGGACTGAAAGGAGACAGAGACAGGGGTAGAGAAAGGGACAACACAAGGGTTCCAGGGTGGGTGAAGGGTAGTTGGTGGTGTCTGTCTCTGAGAAATGGACTAAGGGAGGAAGATGAGCAGGTCTGGAAGAAGAGGCGGAAATCAAGTTTGGACAGGTTGAGTTTGCTGTGGCACTGGAAGAGATGCCAAACAGGTCTAGAGCTCCAAGAAGTAGCTCTAGAGAGAGAGCTACTTCTAGGGCCAGAGCTAGGGAAGCCCTGGCATACCATGTGAATAAGGTCACCCAGGACAGTGTGTAAGGTAGAAGAGAGCAGACCAGGATGGCCCCTGAGTGACAACCCTGGCCAGCCCCCTTGAGGCTCAGCAGTGCCCGCCTCACATGCTCCACAGGCCTGGTTTTCCAGTTGCTGGAGGAAAGCGATGAAGAAAGGCTTTCTTCTAAGTGGGATGCCAATTAAAAGTTAATTGAATTTCCTGTGCCAAGTGAGTGGGCAGGTGCTGAGTGCTGAGGGCCCAAGGGGCTGTGGAGGTCAGCATAAGGAGGAATCTGAGATGGTCCCCTAGGGAAATGAGACTTGGGCTAGTGGGAGGCTATTGGTTGCCCCCCACAGCGTCCTACCCTCCTCCTCTCAGTTAACAGAGATCTCATTCCACCTCAAGAGTGGCTAAAATACTGTTTCTCAGTCTCCCTGGCAGCCCAGAGAGGCCAATGAAATATAAGCAGATGTTCCTGAATGGAGCTCCCTAGAAAATTGTGTAGCTGTGTAAACAGCTGGAATGTGCCATGTCTGACTTCCACCTTCCTTCTACTTGCTACCTGAAATGAGACATGATAGAGATGCCTCCAGCAACCACTTGGATCATGATGGAACCATGAAGAAGGGAGAATCCAACACTTTGAGCAGCAAATCAGAGTGATTATTAGGAGACCAGGTATCCACTGACATCTCGGTCTTACCAGATTGGCCTCAAACCACGTATTCCGATTTCTTTTATCCAAGAGGACAAACTATTCATCTGCTAAGCTACTGGGGTTTGGTCAGGTTTTCCTTTAGAGTGGGGAGGTCTGTCACTCATAGCTGAACATAATCCTAGCAAATACAGGTCTGAAGTACTTTCCCTGGGTTCCAACAATGGGAAAGGAGCCTTCCATGCTAGCTCACACAGAAGCCCTACTCAACCCTCTAGGGTAGGTTCTATTGCTAACCCCATTAAAGTTTTTTATTTTTATTTATTTAGTTTTTGCAGACCTGGAGATGGAGCCCATAGCCTTGCGCATGCTAGGCATGTGCTCTACCACCGAGCTGCATCCCCAGCTATTAGCCCCATTGTTTTTTGGTTTGGTTTTTTGGCAGTACTAGAATCTGGACTCAGGCTTACTAGGCAAGCAATGCACCACCTGAGTCACACCCTCATCCTTTACCCTTTAGTTTGTTTCCAGACAGGGCCTTCTGCTTTTGCCATGCTGACCTCAGACTGTGACTCTCCTGCTGCCTCCCAAGTAGCTGGGTTGACAGATGTGTATCACCATCCCCTGCCCTAGCCCCCATTATTTTTTACATATAGCAGTAATTTATTCTGAAATATTTAGTTCTGTTAAACATGATTCATGTTCTGTTAATAAAATAGCAACCACATTGCCTCAAATACCAGAATATACAACAGTTATAGCACAGTAAAAATTCTACCTACTTTAAAATAAAATCTAGTTCAGGTAAAATAGTTTCATTCAATACTTTACAGTTACAGTTGTTGTTTTTTTTTAGCACAAGATAGTGTGACTTGTTACACTGTAGCTATCTCTATACACATCATGTGACCACAGAGTTGTTAATCATTACTTCTGAGCTTGAACCATCAGTTGCACTCATGCAGTAAAGCAAAGCAGGCTGTGTAAAATTATTCATCAGGAACCATATAACTGAATTTTATAGCCACACGATTAACTATGCTGTTAGGTAGATTCACAAGGACTAAAACTTTTTGCTTAAATACCAACTTTTCCCTGATATCAGTTTAGTTAGTTTACAACCTGGAAATGATAACAGCAATATATCGTATCTTCTATCTGTAATGTTCATCACTTTAAGTCAAGTGATAATTATATATATTATACAACTATACTTGGCTTTATCACTTTTCCCTAACTATAAAGAGTGCCTCCCAGGGAAGGGGGGATAAATGACCCAAACATTGTATGCACATATGAATAAAAGAAAAAAAAAAAAA